AGAGACAGCACACACACACACACACACACACACATGTTTGTGGAAACAGAGTCGGACTCTCTGTACGACCAAGAGGAACTACTCTCAGTTCAAGAGGGAGACCATTGCCGTCCTCCACTGTCTGCGGATCTTCCGGAACTACATCTTCGGCAGGAGGTTTATTATGAGAGTGGATCCGACCGCCCTGGCCTACTCTCTAAGGAATTACGTTCCATCGGATCCGACGGTTGCCAGGTGGCTGACGTACATCTGAATGTTTAATTTCGAGTTGGAACAGATTCCTGGCAGTAAGAACCAGACAGACGGGCTGAGTCAGATCAACTGGGATAAACAGGAAGGGGAGGCAGTGGAGAACATGCCCCCAGTTGATGGATTTCTGGATCAGGAGGAAGATGTCCATCTCCATATCAACAAGTGGTCGCCGTGAGTACCCAACTGTGTAGGCTATCCTATCTGGCAAGCGCCGAAAGGGTATGAAAGGAGGGTCGAGCTAGTCCTTAAACCCTTCGAAGAAGAGGATTCATGGGGTGGTAAGAATGTTCAGTGGATGATGGAGTTAGTGCTGGCTAGTTCGCATAGTCTGGTGGAGGACATGAGGACGATCGAGGAAGGACCAAGCCAGGTAGAACGACATGAGGACATGATGGGAGGAATGTATCTCCTCGTCAACATGTTATTGCAGGAAAGCCTCAGCCAGTCAGGCTCGTTGAACCCGGCAGGGAATGTGGACGAAGTGTCCGAGAGCCAGGACGACAAGTTCGAGGAGGGGGAGATTAAGGAGGCCTTTCGTGCAGAGGAGTATGACGGAATCTACTTAGAGTTGGGGCTCCTTTTGTCTTGCAAAATGCGGCTAAGGGATGCGAGCGATAGGGCTCAGAGAATGCTACAGCGCTACTTAGTGCGAGACGGCCACCTTTTCATAAGGAGAGAAGTGGGGAATCCCAGGAGAGTCGTCTGCGGTAGGAACCGTCAGATTGACGTCATAGCAGCGCTTCATGATGGCATTGCAGGAGGGCATCGAGGGGTACAAACCACGTATGCCAAAATAAGTGACATGTACTACTTGGATGGGATGATGGCCATGATCAGGAAGTTCTGCCGATCTTGCGTACCCTGCCAGGAGAGATCCCGTTTGAGGCAAGGAAAATCGTTGCATCCAAGGCTAGAGCGAGGGTTGGGGGCTGTAGTGCATCTCAACCTACTTTTCATGCCACTTGGGGATCAGGGCTATAACTATATCTTCGATGCGCGCGATAACCTGTCTAGGTTCGTAAATGGGCGTGTTATTCGCACAAAGACCGGGCCAGTCTTGGTAAGCTGCATCGAGGAGTACTATCTGCGCTATCCTTTCGTCAGGGAATTCGTTATGGACAGGGGATCGGAGTTTACCTGCCAGGAGGTGCAATAATTGTTATCAAGGTATGGTGTAGCAGCCAACTACACCACGACCGCGCACCCCCAGGCAAACGCTCTCGTGGAGAGAGAACATAGTACCATTACGAGTCTCTTGGCTAAGTGGACCGAAGGTAGGCCTAATCAATGACCAAGGTATCTAAGGGCGGCGTTTTTTGTCGAGAACATTACAGTAAAAAGATCCACCAAGTACGTACCTGCGACGCTGTGGTATGGAAGGCATGCCACCTTCCCTATCGAGAGCTTTCTTAAGACATGGAGGCGCCATGATCTGGAAGTTCGTTTGTCATTTGAAGATTTGCTCGATATTCCGGCGCGGCAGATAGGGGCGATAGAGGAAAGGATCCAAGAGGCGTCTGACCAGGTGGCGAGAAGCCGTATGGATGATAAGGCTCGATGGGATCAGTCTGCACGGGTGAGGAAAGTACCCTTGTCAGTCGAGGATGTCGTGCTCCTCTACGATTCATCATTGGAGAAACAATGGTCAAGGAAACTCGATAAGAGGTGGTTAGGTCCCTATCGGATCATACGGGTTGGGGACTTCGGAGCGTACCAGATTGAGGAGCAAAATAGGACTGAGTGGAAGGATTGGGTATCTGGAACACGATTAAAGAAATTTGTGGCGAGAGAAGAGGTAAGAGAGATGATCTGACTGCCTTTAGAATAGAAGCGATAGGGTGTGTAGGTCAGATAGGATGCATGCTGCATGAATATGGTCTGGTCTGAGCTTGCTTTGATAATCAACTGTTTGCTTACCCCAATGTGTGCATGTTGTCTCCTTCGCCTGTTGTGCAGGTCTGACTTTACGAAGACAGTCATGCCAAGAGGAGGGAAGGGGACACGGCCGCCTCGGAGGCCTTTGGGCGCATCAGGAGGGTACGAGTGGCATGGGCCTCGCCATCGAGAGAGCACTCCAGAGTACGATGGTGACGACATCGAGCTATTCCTGGACAGCTTCTGGGAGCATGCGCGGCGTATGGGCTGGACCGTGACCTAGGGGATTGAGAGGTTGAGGGGAGTCGGCAAATTCGAGGAGCCCGTCGCGCGGATCTGTAGGGAGGCGACGACGAGGTCAGAGGTGGAGTTGAGGATGCAGGAGCTGCGACCCTCGCTTGTGGGACCTGATGGCAGGCCGATCCGCCTGGAGATTGGAAATGCGTCGGACTTCATCCCCGCCTTTGAGTAGTTCATGCAGGGGCAAGGTATACCGAGAGACGATTGGATGCAAACACTACCGCTCTGGACCAGGAAGGCGGAAAGACCACTAGCCAGGCAGGTTTGAGATATGACCCGGGATTGGGAGAGTTGCAGGGCACATCTGAGAAAGACCTTTCGACGACCAGAGCCCCCTCAGCCCAGAGTTGAGAGGCGTCAGAGGAGTCAGAGGCAGAGGGACCCTGAGCCCAAGGAGGCGAGACCGTCTCGAGGAGGATGAAAGGCCCTAGCTAGGAGAGAAGAGGAACCAGAGCCGGAGCCAGAGGCCGAGTAGCGAGGGGCATACCCTGAGTGTGGGTTGGGACCAGTGGAGTTCCATCGGTTTACCGAGGGTGGATTGAGGAGGTCGCTAGCACACACACAGGAGGAGCCGCCAGCGTCTGAGGGGCCCTTGAGGGAATTGGAGGCGCATTTGGATATCTCTCAGTGGGGAGCGTCGCCTTGGGGTGAGGAGCATGGAGAGCAGGCAGAGGAGATGCCACGAGAGGAGGTGCCACGAGAGGAGGTGCCACAGGAGGAGGTACCACGAGAGGAGGTGCCACGAGAGGAGGTGCCACAGGAGGAGGTACCACGAGAGGGGGTGCCACGAGAGGAGGTGCCACAGGAGGAGGTACCACGAGAGGGGGTGCCACAAGAGGAGGTGCCACAGGAGGAGGTACCACGAGAGGGGATGCCACGGGAGGAGGTCCAGGATACTCAGCGAGAGAGAGGGCTGGGCGATGAGGGGAGACGTGCAGGGAAGGAAGTGATAGAGGTTGAAGAGGACACGCCCCCTCAGACGCCAACGGTGGGTTTGAGACTCGGGGATGCACCAGGGAGCACTCGACAGGCAGGAGAGAGGTTGCAGAGAGGGAAGGCCCCATTGCCTTCATCAGAAAAGGCTCCTTCGCCAGAAGGAAAAGCAGAAAGGAGAGAGAGGGCAGTTGTAAGGAGAGAAGCATTGACCCTGATTGACAGGCACCTAACAGCTCATGCTCTGGAGCACCCAGACCTGGAGGAGCCAGCACTTGCAGAGCCGCGCTAGGAGTCGTGCCAACCCGAGGAGGTGGAGGCAGAGATCCCGAAGAGGGTCGACCTCCGCACGAGGGAAAGGGCGCCAGC